GAGAGGACAGTCAGGAGGATTGTCAAAGAGGATTTGGGAGCCAAGTCAAGGGCCAGGGGTAAGAGGCAGCTCTTAAATGAGACCTCCAAGGCTAAGAGAGTAGCAAGAAGCCAGAAGCTCCTCCAGATCTTCAAAAAGAGAAAACCAGTGATTTTCTTCACAGATGAGAAGCTCTTTTGCATTGACCGTGCCTCCAACAGACCCATGACCGCTACATCAGCAATCAGAGGCCTGAGGATGTCCCTGAGCACATCAGGTTCACCTTCAAGACCAAGCATCTGGCCTCTGTGATGGTTTTTGGGCTTGTGGCCTCAGATGGTAGGAAAATGCCCCCGGTCTTCATTGAACAGGGCCTCAAGGTTGACACTAAAGTGTACATTGACATCCTGGAAAAGTCTGTCAAACCTTGGATCAAGTCCAACTACCCTCCGGGCACCAACTATATCTTCCAGCAGGACGGGGCCCCTGCCCACACTGCGAAGAAGACCCAGAAGTGGCTGGAGGACAACTTTGTGTCTTTCTGGGACAAGGATATGTGGCCCCCTAGCTCCCCAGATCTTAATCCCGACCTGATGTCGCACACCCGCAAACATCTCCTCCGACGGACGTTGTTTGGGGTGAGTAGACACCGTCGGGACTTCAGGAGGTAGTGCTTCCGGACCAGGTTGTACTTCCTCCTGATGTAGTAGTTCTAGTGCTCAGCCTTCAGAGGCCGTTTGGAGACTGTAATCAGGGCTGATGGTGCACATATTGAGTAAAAGATATTGTCAGATGTTAAATCAACTATTTATAATTAAATAAAAATTTTTTTAAATCTCTCCTTGTTATAGTTCTTGATGAGGTATATCCAGACATGAGTGTAGCCATTTTTTTGCCGCATACTGTATATGATGTCACTCTCGGCCAGCAGGTGCCAGGGGAACGTTGTGAACTGCAAGAGCGTTGAAGAGCCCAACACGAATGTAACGTCATTTGAAGCTGGAACCATGGCCGGAAAAGACGCGTCCTATGTCTGGAATGACTGGAAGGCTTCGTACGGCATTGAAGACACCATCCATCTCGTATCCGTCGGGGTTGTCAAGATGGTCCGCACATAAAATCCTTTCCGACTCAAAGAGAGTTCACACTTTGCAGACAATTATGGAAAGGGATTTTATCGAAAGATGGAAAGGCGAAAACGAAAAGTGGCGAACAAATCAATATTTGTTGGAAGGGAGTCCAATACCACAAGTCCATACTAATCAATCATATCGCCGGAAAGACAGAAGCATGAAGACCAGTAATCTGGCTTCGAAACGTGTCTACACCAAAG